TACGCGTACACGCGTATGGCGAATATAGGGGCAGAGAAGAAGGAAGTAGGTTTGTTCGCGGTATGTTTTTTGGATTCCGATGTGCCAGCATACGTGCCGCCCGCGTAGCACGCGTATCCGAAAATCGTTTAAGCCGAACGAAATACAGGTACACGCGTCGGTACGACGAATTCGGACCGTTCGATTTTTTATGCTCGTTGTACACGCAACATCGTCGATTATTTTCCACGAAATTGTTTCGATTTCGTGGGGACTTTGGAGGTTGCCGTTGGACGGCGACGTCACAGGCAATGGGGTCCCATGCCGTAAAAAAGCAACATGCCGCGGAGCTACGGTAGGACGCTCCCACTACCGAGTGTGTTTCATCGTCGATTGAAAGAGAGAGAGAGAGAGAGAGAGAGAGAGAGAGAGAGAGAGAGCGAGAGAGGGAGCGAGGGGGGGGGCAGAAGGACGGCGACGGCAGAGAGGAAAGGAGAGAAGAAGAGATGGAGCGAGATCGGTGGAGGGTGAACGAGCGAGCGAGCGAGCGAGAGAGGGTGAGATTGAACATAAACTCGAGTGGTGGGAGTATATGGTGGGTCCTCGAGGGAAAGTAGCGTCAGTCGCGCGGCACGCGGCGCACCGTACGCGTAAGGGTTTTTCGCGTCGGCTTTCGTACGGTGCACACACACGCAGTTCTTCGTTTTCTCTCGTTCTCTCGCAGCCGATTAACACGCTTGTGCGCACACGCGATCGATCGCGGTCCCGTCGAATCCTCCGGTATTCTCGTCTTTCGAACGGGAGCACTTGGAATAAATCTGGTAAGAAAACGAAACAAGTTACGCGGAACCGCGCCGCGCCGCTCTGCGCGTGCGGTTTTCCTACGGATCGTTGCGAATCGGACGTAACGAAACGAAACAAAAAACTAGAGAGCGAGTGCGCGCGTGTATCCGTGCGTGCCTGTGTGTATGCGTGTGTGTGCGTGCGTGTGTGTGTGAGAGGAAGAGAGAGAGAGAGAGAGAGAGAGAGAGAGAAAGGGAGAGGGAGAAAAAAGCCAGTTAGTTCGCGATAGTGTGCCGTTTTGCTGTGGTTGAAAATTCCCGTGGATGGATTATCCTGGTTTCTCGGCGGCCGGCGCGGCGCGGCACGGCGCGACGCGGCTGACGCGGTGGGATCGTGAGAGGCTGCTGTGTGCTCACCGATGCCCACTGAAACCGTAGAAGCGGCTCGGCAGCGACCGAGTAATTATTACCGAGATAAATTACCTCGCACACGAATTACGAAAGGTTTCGCCTTTAATGGGATTGAAACGTGCCTCGATGTTGACGCAAACGGAGCTCCGTTTAAGTTGTAATCTCGGTCCGCTCCATCCGAACTTTGTACTTGTATCCGTTGTGCGGCACGTGCTTAGGCTGCATCGTCGCGAATCGTGAGTCATGAGTCGTGAGTCGTGAGTCGTGAGTCGTCGCGACGAAGATCTCCGAGCTCGATCCGACGCGTTTCAAAAATTTGCCCGACCCGGCCGTGTCTCGTCGTCGGAAATCGTCACCGGTGATTCGATTTGCTGGAGACGCTCGAATTCTAAAACCTTCGAATACGATTTTTGCGCGTTGCTCGAAATTACGGTGGAATTACGGTTCATCCGAGCTGGTCGCGATAGCGCGACTGCTCGAACGGCGGAATAATTAATTGGTTGGACGCGACGATACGGCCGACTCTTGCTCGATTTTCTTCCTATTTATGCGCGAAACAACAGATTCGGATAATCGAGGTTGGGAATTCGAATATCGGAAGTTCGATCGATCGTATCGCGACGCAACACCTTGTCCGCGTCGGAAAAATTGTTATTTGGCTGTTCGAAGAACTTAAGAACACGCGTGTTACGTTACGTTTTCGTCGGTTCGTTGAAATCATTAACGGAAGAATCGAAACGAGAGAAAAATTTCAAGATATTATTGTACGCCTTTCGCGTTATCGGATCAAGGTTATATTTACTCGACTTTACAGCTTTTGCAGGGGGAAATGAGAGAAGCTTTTTCCCGATCAGCGTCCATCTCGGTAATTTTGCGATGGAAAATAATAGAAGACCGTGGCGGCCGACTCTCTGTACGTATAGAGCCATCGTTTAACGAATCGTTTATCTTGGCGCGCATACGACGAAGGTGTTCCGGAGCGTTTTAAATTCCATTCGTGCTCGGAGGTATTCTATTGTGATCGCAACGGCAACCCTCCCCTTTCATGCTAAACCGAGCGTAAACAAACTTTGCAATTAATGCCAATGATATTTCGGAGCGGACGCACGGCCGACTCGAAATAAACGTCCGCTCGCGCGGCGCGGCGTGGCGTGGCGTTGCGTTGCGTCGCGTTACGCTACTCTCCTACGAATTCTCAGAATATTATTCTCTATAGCAAAAAAGAGACACGTTGTCTTGCTCGCCGGCGTTTAATTTTAGCTTTCTAGAGCCTGAGAAAAATTGTTCGCGGAGTCTGCGGACGAGCCTCTCGCGCGAGTCTCGTTGTCTGCCAACGCTCTCTCTCTCTCTCTCTCTCTCTCTCTCTCTCTCTCTCTCTCTCTCTCTCTCGCCGACCAAAATCGAGCGAAACCGAAAAGAACGCTCGCGCTCGTTTGCTTACCGCTTCGCGTATATCGATACGTTCGATTTTTCGACGCGTACGCGCGTAGGCGGTCCAAGACAATTGACCGACCCCGTAGGTACGCTCTGAAAATATTGTACGTGTACGAGTTACGGATTACAGTTTCGAAAAAATACGGAGCAAAGCGCGTTCGAGGTTCGCGATCTTTGGGTAAAATATGAGAAATGCTGGAAATAATCGAGCGAACGAAGCGTGAACCGATTTGGTCGCGGGTCGCAGTTAACAGCGAATCGCTAGCGCGGGTGATTCATTCGTTCCAGCACGGTGCGATTTTTTATTGCAGTTTCCTGTGGTTGTAATCGTTACCTCCTATCGAGTTCCAGGCTGAAACACGCCCGCGAAGAGCGAGACAAAGAATCTTTTGATGCGGCACGACAAAATTTGCGTCGAACGAATTCTCGCGGAGAGGGGAGAGGACAGAGGGCAGAGGAGACCCCGTTCCTCGTTATTAGTCGTATCGTAAACATTCCTGTCCGCGCGAACGCTTTTCGATCGTCGAAAGAAATTTGTCGGCGGAGGGTTTTTACGAGAGTCCGTGCAACCGTTTTCGTTTCGCGGCTTCTTCGAGGCCGATCGCGAGCTCGTCTCTCGATCTCTCGAGTCGTGTCGGATCGGTTTGCTCTTTCGGTCGCTGCCCATCGTTCCGCTTTATCTCGATTGTTTTTCTCGGTTCCTTGTTCTTATCGATTCATCGCGAGCAAGTTACGGTCAAGCGCGGAGAAATCTGTGAAATAAATTCGTTTTCCAATTCCACTCGTTCGTTTTGAAATTTTATCTTGTTCCATTTCATTTTACACGGAACAACGAATTATTTCGATTTTCTGGATTTTTCCTCGCGGCCGCGACCGGACTTCCCGATGAAAATGCTAAATGTACGCGTACGCGCATACGTACGGTGGAAGGAAACGGATAAACGAATAAATCGATACGATTTTTATCGGCGCGTTCGCACGGGATGACTTGTACGCGATACTTTGTCGCCGGCGACGTACGCGCGCCACCGATTTGAAATACAAGACCGCGCGCGCGCGCGGGGTTTACGATTAACGAAAGAACCTACGAATATTTTATAACGGTACGATAAAATCCGTGGAATCAGCGGACGCGCGCGGATGAATTATTTCCGCGTCGTCGCGGAGGTATACGAGTTTCGTAAAACCGTCGCAGAATCGTATATTTTTCTTTCTATTTACTTTCCCCGCTCTATCTCTACGATACATCGCGGAACCGATCGTAACATTTTTAACGGTCGAAGTGTACCTGTAATTTTTCGTTCTTATTTTTATCTGTGCGCGTACGCGCAACGATCGAAAGCTTCGTTGTACCCATAATGTAAGTTCGAGGCGTTCGGACCGTCGAAAGCGCTCGAAAAATCGTGGCGACGATTACGCGTGCCACGGTCGCATCCTGTGTACGTACACGTATCGTCTATCTTTTTTCGATAAAGCAGCGCGGCGGTCGACGCGCGCGCCGATATTTACAAAATATTTACGCGCATAATCGATTTGTGGCGTAAACGCTCGAACGACCTACGCAACGATAACTGTTCCACGGAAATACATAAATATCGAAAATACTCGCGCAGTCGAGTATTTTGCGAACGATGGATGCGTTTGCATCGTGCGCGCGCGCAAAACCGGTGGACGAGATCGTCCCTTGCGTCGAAATACTCGTGAAAAATCCTTTTCAAGGTTTGCGCGCGTCGTAAGATATCGCGTCGACGAATAGAATCGAAATCGACGTATTCGATAATATTTTTGAAACGACGAAATATAAGTTTTCCCCTACTGTCCGATCTCTCCGAAATTCGGAAGACTCCGAAGATCGAAAGCTTCGTTCGGCCTTCGAAGAAGAACGCGTCGTTCCTACGAACGACGAAACGGCCGATCGCGCGAACGCGTCGTTTCTCGACGATTCTCGTCGACCGAACGAGCTCCGACCGTGCCTTCCGGCTTTATCGGCCGGGTCGGTCCATGCCGGGCCGCGCAGCGTTAGCGATGCCGTGAACGCGCGTCGATGGCCCGACGACGACGCGACGTCCTCTCTTCCGTTCGTGCATCCGGCTTCTACTTGTTTCGCAGGAAGATCCCGAGCAGGATCGTCGTCGGATGTCGGGAGCTCGGAGGGAAATTGGAACGAAGGGAAACCGGTGAAAGGCGAGCGTTTCGGCCGAGCTCGCGATTTTCGAAGGGACCGAGGATCGCGAAAGGGACCACGGAGGGTAGGAAGGCGACGAGAGGAACCGATCGCGGAGCGGTTCGCTGGGACCAGTGCGGCGAACGCCCTCGAAATCCTTCGGTCGGCCTCGAATCGTCTCCGTCTTTCGAGATCGCAGAATCGGCGAACATGGTTCAACGCGGAGCTACGCTGTTGCAAAAACCACGCGTCGGACCAAAAATTTCCAGGGATTTCTCCATCGCCGTGCAACTGTCCTACCGGCCGCCGATTTGAAAAGTACGTGAGTATATTTGACAATTTTTGGTTGGTTCGTTCGCAACGTTTGTTTCGCATCGAATCTGGCAAAACCGTTATCGTAGAATCGCGTATCGCGTATCGCGCCGTTTCCTTTCCGTCGGATTTATACGCGTAGTCTCGAAATGTACGAAGACGCGCGAATACCGGACTCCTTTCGATGCGGCGACTTTTGGGTACAAGATGGATTTTACCATCGAGGCTCGCGCGTCCGGACCGATTCGAAGTCGAAACGTTAACGTTTTCCGATAACTTTGATTTTATCGTTCGTAAAATTTGGACAATCTCGAGTCCATCGAGAGAATCCAACGACGACTCGCGAGCGCTATCTTTCCTCCTTCCGCCTTCCGCCTTTTACCTTCCTCGTCGTCCGTCGACGGAATTCTGAAAAAATTCCGGTTATCGACGAAAAGAACGAGGACGACCCGAGTTGCCGCGTTCCTAGAGATAACGATTTTCATTCCTTTGGTCGAGTTCGATCGTCTTCCGGTATCCGGCATCTCCTAGCCCAGGCGGGAGCTTCCGTTTTTCTTCGACGCTGCCTCGGCTATTCTTTTCGTCAGCCTCGTTTACATTTCATCGATCGCAATCAGACCCGCGCGCGCTCTCTCTCTCTCTCTCTTTCTCTCTCTTTCAATTTGATCCGCGCCACGGTTCATCGGCTGGGGTTGTATCGCTTTTCCGGTTTACCGAGTCCAATGTTTCGCGCCTGTCGCGCTATTTCGATCGAGATCCTCTCGGTCGCGCGCGAATCTTCACCGTTGATCTTCGATTCGCTCGCATCTTTGGCTCGTACATGCTCGGAGAAATCGATCGTCGCCAGGGTACAACGAGCCCCAAAAATCTCCGCTGTCTTTTTCCAAACTCGTATCGGCTTGGCGCGCAAATTATTCCAGTCTTCGGCTTCGATGGCGAACCGATTTCGCGTTGCTTCTTTCGACGTTGTTGAAATTTACATCGAGTCTGCGCGCTTCGCGATAGTTTAACGCGAATCGTACTCGAGTAACGATCTGATCGAAAAAATCGGAATTTCTTTCGAACGTTTGCAACTTTATCCTCGTGGAACGAGTTTCCTCGCTCGTTGCAGAATATTTGTCCGTTCTTCGATGTTTGGAATATTAAAAGCGGATTTGTGGAATTGTTGCTAGATAAAATTTTCCGTAAACAGGATGTGGGAAACGAGCAAAGACGCAAAGTGTACGCTTATTACCGTGTGTGCACGACGCGACACGACGCGACGGGAACTTTATTATTTAACTCCGTTATTTAACTCGTCGAGCGAACGTCGCGTAACGGTTCGTCGTATTTCCGTTCGTTTTCCCTACGAAACGCGACGCAGGATTCTCGACCGAGAAAAAAATGTCCGATCGTTTGTGGGACGTCGAACGTTCGAGGAAACTCGCCGAATCTCGGTGCGTAACCAGGAAATTTGACGCGCCGCACGCGCGCGAATCGCGTAAAAATCCCATCTTTCCTCTTCCGGTGTTTTCGGTGCGTCATTCGACGTATCGTCGCCGAGTCGCGATTCGACTCGTACGAGGAAACGTCGTTTCGATCGGAAGCGTCCCTACCCTCGGTGGAAAATATTCGATCGAAATCGCGGACACGCGCGACGAAAGAATCAATTGCCGCGAATAATCGTCGTAGAATCGATCGTAACGACGAATGAAAAAGCAACGATGCATCGATCGTAAGTTAGGATCGTCGAGGTACCGTCGTCGGTCTTCGACCGTGCATCGGAAACGCTTTTCCGAATAACCGAGAACGTTGTCTTCGACCGAGTCGGTAAAGCTTGAATTCGCGTCTCGCGTTACTTTGTAAAATCGATTAATCGCTGTCTCAACTTTTTAAGAAGAAGATCCGCGCGGTCCATCCGTCTCGCGGCCGAACGTGGCGCACCGCGCGGAGCGTGGCTGACCGCGCGTAGAGCGTGGAAGACGGTGGCGACTGTCTCTCGACGTTGTTCGCTGAACATTGTCGTCATCGGTGTGCGTGTGCGTGTGTGTGTGTGCAGGTCGGCGGATGGATGTGGCAACCGCTGGGAAGTCCGAACACGGAAGACAACGCGAACTGGGAATCCGTCGTCATCGCCGTCGGCGACGAAGGAGCGCCGAGTTGACAGAAGTCGGCAGGTCCGCGAGAAGAAAGCGCCAGCGAAAGAAGAAGGCGCCTGGTCCGTTACGCGGAAGGAGGAATAGAAGTAGAAGTAGAAGTAGAAGTAGAACAACGAGCAAGCCCGAAGCGTCGCGACGCTACGCCACACCGGCGACTCAACCCACGAAACTACCCGCGAAAGTTGCTTCCATCTCGCATCCGCGTTCGTCCGACTCTTCCGTCGCTGCCATTCGCGCTGCCTTGCCGCCTCGCTGCTACCAACCCTCTACGATCGGTTAGCAGTTTCTCGTGCCTCGTGTCTCGTGCCTCGTGCCTTGTGCTTCGTGCCTCGTGCCTCGTGTGCCGTCTCTCGTAAACGAGAAACGGGAGGAAAGAAAGGAAGGAAGTGTGCTCGATCGAATCCTCTATATTTTCTTCCGATCGTAAACGGTGCGTGCCATCGAATTTTGGTGATCGTCGTTTCATTGGATACGGTTCTGTTCGGAGATAGTGCGCGCGCGCTTCGATAAATCGTGTTTCGGCCGAGACGAGATCGCGCGTTTCCTAGTGAATAGTGGTGCTCTTGTTCGCCGTTTCTCCGTTTCTCCGTCTCTCCGTCTCTCCGTCTCTCCGTCTCTCCGTCTCTCCGTCTCTTCGTCTCGCGATAGCGAAAGTCGGTGAATCGGATTTTGCCAAGACGAAAATATTGCTGGTCGCAAGATGATGCTTCCGCGGACGCTGCTGATGGTGCTGTTCTCTGTGCTGGCCAAGGGAGCGCCGAGAGCCTCGGTCATTTACGCGGACGACAAAGTGGTGAGTCGATCTGTTCCATTTTAACGGGATTCTTTTCCGTTGGCGCTCGAGGAATTTCCGGCACGGGAGAACGCGCTTAAAAACTCTCGGCGATCGTTTAACATTTCGTGGAAAAAAAGGTCCGAGACGTTGAAACTCTTTAAAGTTTTTTAAAAACTGCTCAAAGTTTGAATTTTTATACACGATTTCACGCTGTCGTACGAATGGATTTCAAAGTTGTCGGAATCGGATTCGATACCGCGCGCGACTGCACCGCGGATAAACGTACACGCGTATGGAAAACCATCGTTGAAACCTGTAAATCCGTGAATATAAAAACTCGAGCGTCGCGTCTCGATGGCTCGATCCGATCCCCGGATCCGACGTCGATTCGCTCGTAAACGGACAACGCGCGCGTTTTCCCTAAGAAACGATGCAACGGAGTACGCGCCGCTATTCTTTCGCTCTAAAAACCACGTACCAACGACGTAACTCCGCTTTTCTCGGTCACGTTTCGCTCTTCTCCGCGCATCCACCGACGCCTGCTACGTGATGCCGTCTAAATTCTCGAACCGATGGAAGAGCGACGCGCGCCCGTACGACGATCGAATCGTGACTCTGTATCGATTTCGCAATCGGTGGTACTCGGTTTCTCGTTTGTTGAATATTTTTCAAAAATTACGTAGCCCCGTACGACGATTCGCGCGTGACTTCCTATTGTTTTTACGATCGGTGATCCGAGTTGTTCCGAACGAGAGAGAGAGAGAGNTACGCGGAAGGAGGAATAGAAGTAGAAGTAGAAGTAGAAGTAGAACAACGAGCAAGCCCGAAGCGTCGCGACGCTACGCCACACCGGCGACTCAACCCACGAAACTACCCGCGAAAGTTGCTTCCATCTCGCATCCGCGTTCGTCCGACTCTTCCGTCGCTGCCATTCGCGCTGCCTTGCCGCCTCGCTGCTACCAACCCTCTACGATCGGTTAGCAGTTTCTCGTGCCTCGTGTCTCGTGCCTCGTGCCTTGTGCTTCGTGCCTCGTGCCTCGTGTGCCGTCTCTCGTAAACGAGAAACGGGAGGAAAGAAAGGAAGGAAGTGTGCTCGATCGAATCCTCTATATTTTCTTCCGATCGTAAACGGTGCGTGCCATCGAATTTTGGTGATCGTCGTTTCATTGGATACGGTTCTGTTCGGAGATAGTGCGCGCGCGCTTCGATAAATCGTGTTTCGGCCGAGACGAGATCGCGCGTTTCCTAGTGAATAGTGGTGCTCTTGTTCGCCGTTTCTCCGTTTCTCCGTCTCTCCGTCTCTCCGTCTCTCCGTCTCTCCGTCTCTCCGTCTCTTCGTCTCGCGATAGCGAAAGTCGGTGAATCGGATTTTGCCAAGACGAAAATATTGCTGGTCGCAAGATGATGCTTCCGCGGACGCTGCTGATGGTGCTGTTCTCTGTGCTGGCCAAGGGAGCGCCGAGAGCCTCGGTCATTTACGCGGACGACAAAGTGGTGAGTCGATCTGTTCCATTTTAACGGGATTCTTTTCCGTTGGCGCTCGAGGAATTTCCGGCACGGGAGAACGCGCTTAAAAACTCTCGGCGATCGTTTAACATTTCGTGGAAAAAAAGGTCCGAGACGTTGAAACTCTTTAAAGTTTTTTAAAAACTGCTCAAAGTTTGAATTTTTATACACGATTTCACGCTGTCGTACGAATGGATTTCAAAGTTGTCGGAATCGGATTCGATACCGCGCGCGACTGCACCGCGGATAAACGTACACGCGTATGGAAAACCATCGTTGAAACCTGTAAATCCGTGAATATAAAAACTCGAGCGTCGCGTCTCGATGGCTCGATCCGATCCCCGGATCCGACGTCGATTCGCTCGTAAACGGACAACGCGCGCGTTTTCCCTAAGAAACGATGCAACGGAGTACGCGCCGCTATTCTTTCGCTCTAAAAACCACGTACCAACGACGTAACTCCGCTTTTCTCGGTCACGTTTCGCTCTTCTCCGCGCATCCACCGACGCCTGCTACGTGATGCCGTCTAAATTCTCGAACCGATGGAAGAGCGACGCGCGCCCGTACGACGATCGAATCGTGACTCTGTATCGATTTCGCAATCGGTGGTACTCGGTTTCTCGTTTGTTGAATATTTTTCAAAAATTACGTAGCCCCGTACGACGATTCGCGCGTGACTTCCTATTGTTTTTACGATCGGTGATCCGAGTTGTTCCGAACGAGAGAGAGAGAGAGAGAGAGAGAGAGAGAGAGAGAGAGAGAGAGAGAGAGAGAGACGGCGAGGCGAGAAAGCTCTGCCGCGATTATCGTTTCGAAAACTCTCGGAGACACTTTTGTTTCGACCGCGCTGCGAATTCGGCTTACCAGGAAAGTGGGAAACCCGTTGGCGGAAAAACTTCTTCGATGACCTAACGCGAGCATCGGCGGAGCAACCTCGTTATCGCGTACACGATTTCCTTCGTTCCGGATATCCGTCCGACGAGGATTTCCCGAACCGTCGACGCGCGACGCGATCCAAGCTTTTGGGCATCGGGTCGTGCTTCTCCTCGTACTCCGGCGAAATCGCCGATTAGGCGCGTCGAACGACTCGCTCACAATGTTGTTACCAACGCAAAAAGTAAAGTAGTTGGGACACGAAATATTTTCTACTCGATTCTAGTTCGTGGTAATCGATGCGAAAACTTTTTTCTTCGCGCGACGAAAGATCCTCGTTTCGGACGAATCGTAAGCAACCTAAATCGCGAAAACGGTGAACAGCAATTTTCCCCCGTACGATCGACTGTTCGTTATCCGGGAATATCGTATGCTCGAGTTTGTCCCGCGAGCGTGGATTTGCTGTCGGCGCGGCGCTACCGCTGCCGTTTTATCCCAGTTACTCGTACTCGCGCACGATCGGCTCGAAGAGCGCGAACCTGGCATTATTTCATGCGTGTGTCGCAAACAGAGCTGGTTCGCAGATGCGTGGCTGGATGACTAAGAACCACGGTCGATTTCGCGTGCAAAAGGCACGTATATCGACTGCGTGGATTCGGACGTGGCGCCTGCGCCCTCCCCGATATCTCGCGACGTCGAACGAAGCGAAGCGAAGCGATTTTCTTCTTTCTTCTTTTCTTCTTTTCTTGTTTTCTCGAAAACGATCCTTGTCACGATCCACGCTCGTCGACGACGCACAGTGCCGCCAAAACGGCACGCAATTTCAAACGGGATCGCTTTTCTCGAGCGCTTCTTTCGTTGCTTCGACAGCACCGAGCGCACGGGAACCGATCTTTCGCGCCAACGTCGAATTCGTTCGGCCATGGTCGCTCGATCGATCGTTCGGACAGAGCTTTTTACGCGGATTCGGCTTTTTCCGACGCAAGAAGGACGGTCGAACGAAAGCATTTCTGTAATTATTCTCGCATCGAAATTATTTCCGCGTCTATTCTTATAACGAAAAGGCGCGCACGATTTTCGAAATAATTATTTCTCGCCCGTTCGTCTCGGATATTAAAAACTTTGACGAGCGATCGATCGATCGATCGCTCGATAACTCGAGCGAATCGGCGAATAGACGAGAAATTAGAGGAAGCTTTTTAAACGTAGACACCAAATGGACAGAGGCGCCGTGCCGCGCCGTGCCGCGCCGTGCCGCGCCAACCGTCCGACGCTGCGAGACCCATAAAATCATCTCGGAGAGAAGAAAAGAGGGCACTTTATGATCCGTTCCATGAAGCGGAACGTCCTCTTTCGCGATTCCGCGATAACAAATTAGGACAAGTGCTACAAATATTTGCCTGTTTATCTTGAAAACGTTCCTAGGCTTCCGTAACGCTTACGAAACGTGTTTTTCTTGGCGGTACTTGGATTCGTTCCTTTTGCCGTGCATTCGTTTTACGCGTTTCGAGTTATTGTCTCGTTACGATCGCCGCGATTATCTCGACGCTATACAAATTTCATGGCGGATTTCTATGGAAACCGAAAGTTGTCCGCGTCGATGACGAGAAATACGAATCGAATAGCGAGTTGTCGCTCGTATTACTCGTACCTGTACTCTCGTACTCGTCGTTCGAAATTTCAAGTTTGCCATGGAACGTTGATTCGATCGGCGCGGTTGTCCGGAGGAGTAATCGCGAAACGGCTCCGTTTATATCCAGGGTCGTGAAACAGCAACGATAAAGCAAAGGCTGGCGTCGGAAGGCGAATCTTTCGCGGAAGCTTCGGCAAATCCGTGTCCGTCTCTCGTAAAAGACGATCTCTCTCGTTCGAATCGATCGAAAGAAACGTTGTGTTCGAGCGATTCGAACAGCGACCGTCTCCACGGTCTATCTCGCGAACTCGTTCGCGGCAAAGTTTTCTGCGGACGATCGAAAATGTTCGGGAGATTCCGAATCGAATTCGTTAATTATTTTCTCGCTTATCGTTCTCGATGGTTGCGGATCGCGCGTCACGGTGGACGGTAAAAATCTAAAAACATCGAGACGCAACGAATTTATCGCGTTCAAATTACGATATCGTCGAATTTACGAGGCAAGCTATCGTTTTATCGCCGCGCCGTATTTTTCAGCCGCTATTGCTGCCAACGAACGGGGGCCTCGTTGCACCGAAATGCACGCTCGCTGCAACGAATATAGCGAGCTCGTAAAAACAGTGGGGTGCCAAAGAGAAGCGGTTTTCGGTATACATATTTCCGGGCGTCTCGATTCGGAGGCGGCTCCGTCTTCGCTGTTCGCTCTTCGCTCTTCGCTCTTGACCCTCTTCGGTCGCTCGCGTTCGTCTAGGTACACTTCGGGGGTTCCGGTAGACGCGGACGGGCGACACGAGCGGTAGGAACACCGGGAAGCTCGATCGAAGCGCGGACGACAAAGTCCGCGCGCGACGGTGAGCTCGACGAACGATTCGAATGGGTCGGCTCGGCTCGGCTCGGCTCGCGATCGGACGAAAGGCGAAAGGCCAAAGGACTATCGATTCCATCGACGATAAAACGATTTTACGACCGCGGCTGTCTATCTCGTGCTTCGCGCGGCCAAGGTTAT